ACTGCTGCAATGGGCTCTTGCATGTCAGGAAGTGTGAGGATAGCACAGGATAGAACAGAGTTCAGATCTTTTGTTCATAGGGTCACTATGAGTCATACTTGATGGCACCTCTGAAATGAAAAAGAAAAAAAAACTTAGATTTTTATTTTCATAATCTCTCATTATTCTGTCTCTTTCTTTCACTTCCCTATTATTCTTGTTTCAGAGAGGGAAATCTTACTTCTGTTAGGGACAAAGTATTAGTTAAGGATTAGGGTATTGTATTTATCACAGTCCTTTCTTTTTCCTTCCTTAATATTATTTCTCCCCCCCCCCCGCCCCCATTTGTCTCTATTTCCACTAAGACTTTTTAATTTCTAGTTTAGGCCTACATCTGTAGCATTGGTAGCTTGCCTCCAACTTGGGGTGATCATTGTCTGTTCCGATTTAAGAATCAATCACTAAGTCTGAATTGTCAGCCTTTTAACCATTGAGTTTCATCATCAGATGAAAGACTCTTGCTTTGTGGTTGATCATCTGTAGATGGTTTTCTCTGAGGTGCTTTTCCCAAGAAGTATCCTGCAACCTTCTTGAGGGTCAAGGTTTGGCTGTCTGCCTTCTGGAAGCAGTGAGTCAGAAGCCTCCTGAGAATCCCGCTGTTCAGTCCAGAAATTGCATTTCCTGTTGCAGCTGTTAGCTGACAACTAGTTGACTCTGACCCCTGATGACCTTACAAACAATAGAACGAAAGCTGCTGCCCTGTCCAGCACCACCCTCACGAGGACTCTGTGCTCAAGTTCATGTTCATTGTGACAGCCAGGGTGAATTCTGAGTGTTTTCTAAACTGGGGACTCATCTTTCAGTGCCGAATCAGGCAATAGTCTGCAGTGGTCCATAGGCCTTTCATTGGCCACTTAGCCTTTCTTCCTAGTCTGTCTTAGTCTGAAAGCTCCACTGAAACATGTCCACTGTGGAAGATCTATGACATCTAAAATACCAAAGATATGGTTTTCCAGCATCACAAAAATACACAAGCAACCATAGTACAATGACTGGCAGATGGCTGGTAGAAATTGAATTCTGTTTAATTCCATCTTTCTTCTTGTCACCACCAGATGCTCTGTAGATGAAGAATGGATAATGTCCTCTGAAAACTCACTGGATGGTCAGCTAGAGATTGGGTCTGACTCAATGGCAAACAACAATCATCCACTTTTAGCTCTGTTCCTAATCCTTGCTGTCTAATATGTCTGAAGCCCCTACTTCAGAAATTTGTGAGCTTCAATTTTGAGTGTAGATCATTAGTCTCCTTTAAGTGTTGAGATGATATGTTTTCCAGGTTGAATGGAAACAAAGACAAATGGAGGGGCTTTGGGGGTCTAATCACCTTCTATACAGACTCTCTTCTTAGTCTCCCTCACAGCTCTTCCACTCCCCTTTCATGGCCACAGATGCGTCCTGGACCTTCCTGTGGCTCTGCGTGGTGAGTCAACTCTTTCTGAGCTCCCGCCCGTTTTAGAAGATGCCAGAGCAAAGTCTCCATGGATCTGCTCAGTCACTCACCTTCTCTCTGTTCTCCACCTACTAAATATGTGCATTTATTTCTCTCTCCATGTTCTCTAAGTTATTGACCTAGTGGTAAGAAGCTGTGCTGCAATCTCAAAGACACGTGGTTCAAATCCAGTAGCTGTTCTGTGGGAGATGAATGGACAACCTTCTTTCATTTGATTTACTACCTCTGAAAACTGGCTGCAGGGTCAGCTATGGGATGTGTTTGACTTACTGACACACAACATTAGTAACAACAAAGACAACACCAGGATATTATTTAGGGGGGGGAAAGCCCATTTCCCCCCTTGTTTTTTAAATTAGTCTTCCCTAAGACAGGCTTGATAATAAGCATGTAAATTTAAGGTTTCCTTTAAAACAGAAAGTCAAGTTATATCTATGATCAGAATTATGGGATGATACAAGTTAGAAATGTATTTGGAAGTCTGCTCCATGACTGGCTTGTTTGGAACATGGCTCAGGAAGTGATTGTGGACTGCTTTGCCAGCTAAGCCTTTCCACAGCATCCTGGTGAGAGACAACCAGTGACCAAGACGGGAGCATGGTGAGTGGGTAAATATTGTATCCATGAACTGGAAAGAATGAAGCAACCGATTTGAAAAGGCAGTCAGTGCTCCATTAGATCAATAAACCTGCATTTCGATCTTTTTCCCTCTTCCTTCTGCTCTTGCTTTTAGCTGGCCTCTGTCAAATACATTCGTTTATGGAAATCTCACAAGACAAAGAAATGCCCCCAGTCCTGGGCCATTTCCAGGATGGATTTTGAATCAGACTGTGATGTCCTAAAGGGTTTTAACTATGTGATATTTGGAAATAGACCATTAGATCTTTCTTCCTAGTTGACTTTAGTATGGAAGCCCTACTGAAAGAAGCCTGTTACACGTAATAAAATGTGGCAAGCCTCTGCTGACAGAAAGGCGGTAGCCTTGCACGAGGTTCCTTGGTTGAGACTTGAACCTCGGTCTCCTGCATGAAAGAGGAGCATTCTAACACTGAGCTACTATGCTCTAAACTGGCAGACTATATTGCTACGACCTCATGCTAATTTCACCTCTTTTTCTTTCCTCTAGAGTAGAGGACGAGAGCTAAAATTTCTTTTTCCCCCCTTAAACTGTGTTCTAGATCAAGATTTCAAATTCTTCAATGTCCATACAATTGCAGATTTTAAAAAATTAATAGACTGTTTTTAGAGTCATAATAATTTTACAGAACAAATGGACAGAGACATATCAAGCTCCTATATACTTCCACCCCCCACTCCCCAAATAGTTTCCCTTGATACCAACATCTTATATTAAGAATAACTTTTTAAAAATGCAGATTCTGACTTACAGGCCTGAGAGTCTGGGAATCGGCTAAACTCCTAGGTGATGTTTGTCCCACAGGTTCTCAAAGTTCTAGGAAGAGGCTTGCTGACATGGGGAAGTCAAAGCAAGAAGGGCATTCCTCTTCAGAGGTGCATTTCAGTCCTCCCTTTGTACCCGGTTTCCCACCTCATCTTCTGACCTTTGAATTTCTTAATTCTTAGCTTGGCTCTGAGGAGTACTGCTTCTTGGAACAGTCCATGCTGAGGTCTGATCTACAGGAGAGGAACTTACTCCATGAGGCTTGTCCGTGGAATGAATAGTGAAAAGAGGAACTTAGTTACCTGTTCTCGTTAGGTGCCATTGAGAGCAAACCTATGAACAATAAGTCTGAACCTTGCCCTATCCTGTGCCATCTTCATCATCTCTGACACACTTAAGTCCACACTGTAGTCACTGTGTCAATCCATCTTGTCGAGGATCTCCCTCTCTTTTGTTGACCCTCCACTTTTCAAGCATGATGTCCCTCTCTGAGGAACAGCCTCTCCTAGCAACATGCCTAAAGTATGTGATATGAACCTTTGTCATACTTGCCTCTAAGGAGCACTCTGGCTGCACCCTTTCCAAGATGTTTCTGTTTTGTGCTTTTGACAGTCCATGGGATGTTCACAAATACTCTTCTCCAACACCACAGCTCAAGGTCCTACTGTAGTAGGAATATCACAAGTGAGGGGCATTAAAGAACAGACGTGTATCTTCTCACATTTAAGAGGCCAAGGTGTCCAATCAGTATCTTCACCATGTTGATGCTCCTATGGTCGCTCTCATAGTTTCTGATGCCTATTGGCAATCCTTGGTGTTCTTTTGCTTGTGAATGTGTTGTACATGGAATCTATCTTCCCCGTATAGATCCTTTTTATAACTCCACAGATACAGGGGCCAGGACTTTAATACATATTTTGGGGATAGGATCACCACTCAATCCAAAACAGCACCCTAGGTCTACATGCAACCAGTCCAACAGCCATAGCCCTGACCGTGTGGCCTGCACCTATCATTTTGCTTCCTCACTCTTCTAGTTTCTCTTGTTCTAGCCCTGTTTCTGGTTAGGAACCAACTGGAAAAATGGGTAGCAGAAAATCATTGTCTATGTTCACTATGAACACTCCACACTGAAATCTCAACATCCCACATTTAGGGGACCAACTTCTGGATTTCTTTGGACATTGAACTAACAGGCTTTAATGAGAGAATGGAGGAAGCCAAAGGAGTTTGCTTGCTTTACATGAAGATACAGAGAATAGAGCCAAAGTGACCTCATGCAGATTTTCAGAATTAGCCTTTGTTTTCATTGCCTAGGTCTCAACCCACTCCTGAGAATCCAGTGGCGATTTCATGTGTCTGATATAGTGGTGTCAGAAGGAAGGGAAATCGTTTAGGAGAAAAGGACAAACCAGGTTAGTCTTCAGATCTTATTTTGGTCTCTTTGTAACGAATGTGAGTTGTGGTTGAGTACTGTGGAGTCAGAGTCGACCCATAGCTGACCCTCCAGTGGGTTTTCAGAGGCAGTAAATTGCATGGGAGGAGAATACCCATCCTTCTCCTGGGGTGAAGTTGGTGGATTCAAATCTCTTGCCTTTGGGATTGCAGCACTGTTTCTTACCACTAGGACACAGGAGTTCCCTAATAGATGTGAGTAGAATATTTTAAATTTAAGTGTTCTTGGGATGTGTGTGTTTCCCCCCCTTTCTTTCCCTCCCTCCCTCTTTAAAAAAATCTGAATGAATGGTGAGAATTTGGGCATTATCTCATTTAGATCAATTCAGAAAAAAGATCCTCTTATGGTATATTTGTGTCTGCTGCCTGGGGGATGTGAACATCCTGAATCTTTGCCTTGATATTATCAATGGGGCCAGTACATGCAGCTATTATTTGCAGGGAAGCCTGGTAATGAGGTCTGTTTGGTTTCTATCATGCTCAGCCCCCTGCCAAAGTGCAAGCAGAGGCATAGCATCAACAAAAACAGCATGTGTGTTTTGAGGGACTTACCACTGGGGAATCCAATTGAATCTCTAACGTTTGGCACCAGATTATGTGACTCTACCTCTAATTACCTATTCCAGGGAGGTTAGGGGAAAGAGGCCCGGCATGAGGAAACGGATGCATAATAATTGTCTTGCAGGTTTGTTCACTGCTATTTGGTACAATATTAACATCCCTTTATGTTTTTGAACATTTGCCTGGTTGTGTTTTCTCAGCAGGGTGGATGGGGAAGCTGATGGGCTCTTGAAGTGCCTGGCTAGACTTGGGAGGTAGAAGCAGCTGTAAATGGGGACATTTGCTTGGCTCACTGGCTAATGAGTGAAGGATCGTCAAGAGTAATAACGTTCCAGCAGAATTTCCTTAATGATTGGCACAGTTCATTAATAGAAGAAAAACAAAAGGAGAGACACTCTTGGAAGGGGCAAAGAGGACCTCATCAAGGAGGAGGGGGCGATGCTGCAAAGGAATGTAGCTTTCACACAATTAGGTGTTTGAAGGAAGACCAGGCTGGACACAGCTGAGTAATCCTGGCTAATTGAAATTTGCATGGGTCAAAGACCAGAGGCCTTGCTGCCGCTGGATGACATCCGTTCTGGGATCCTGGAATAAGGAGTCGCCCATGTGTATCTCAGGTCAGTGAAAACTGGTGGCTCCCCAACAAAGAATAGCTTTCATGGGAGATTCCAAGCTGCCTTGTTCAAGCTGCTGCTTCTCATCAGTCACTATGATGATCTTGAGTTGACCAGGTGGATTAACATGTAATATGCCTATCTTCCCATTCTTCTCTGGAAGTAAAAACTACTGGGTCGTCATCTCTTCCATTGCATGCTGCGTCTGTAAGACATGTTTCTGAGATGCACAGGTTGGTCATTTAAAATCTAATGCCCGTTATTTTAGCTCCACGTTCCTTTAGTTCCTTTGGGTTCCAGGAATCTGACAAGATCAGAGTCTCTCTGTGTCACTCAGAGTTGCCTCAAGGCCCTGGGCTGTGTGGAGGTATTGCTTGGACTCCTGTTCAGGCACTGGAAGAGCTGCGCATCACTGCCTATCTATAGGAGAGTTCCTCCTTCTCCCCTCAAGGGCATTCCTCTTTCTCCTTCCTCCTCTCTGGACACTTTGCTTAATCTCTTCAACAAGTTCAGGCTTTATGAAAGACAGGAAGAACTGCAGCTCCAGCTTTTCCTTTCCAAATATCCTTAGGCAAGAAAATACAATGCTGGCTACTGACTGGAAATGGAAAGAGAAAAAAGCATAGGGAACACAAACACAAATTAAAAATTCAATACAGTATTCTGCTACATTTACTTCCAAACAGTGAAATTCTCCAAAGAAATGATGGAAGCAGATTTTGTGTTCCTTTAAGACAAATGATAACAACATTACACAGAGTATGGAGAAAGTTTGGAAGTCATTCACAGCTACTCTAGCAAGGCAGATAACAAATCCTTGGTTAAACTTTGTCTGGACTGTAACAATCTAACATTATGTGCTGATTTTTACTTCTCAAGGAGGATTAGGGCAACTGTGTGATTACTGAAGAATCTTTTGGGACTCTCAGTAATTCAAGAAAACCTAAGTTCCTGTAAAATCAAGCAAATCAAGGACATTGATTATGAAAAGCATAGATCTACCCATGTGTTTACATATGAAAGCTGGGCAATGAAAAAAACAGAATTGAAACATCTTAGTGCAATGTTATAAGGATGATGAAAGAAGAATTGATGCTTTTAAGTTGTAGTGTTGGAGAAGAGCTCTGGATATCCCATGGACTGCCAAAAAACAAATAGATATGTCTTGGGAAAAGTGAAGCCAGAGTGCTTCTTAGAGACAAGAATAGTAATACTTCATCTCAAATATACTGGGCATACCCCTAAGAGAGGCTATTCCTTGGAGAGAGATATCATGCTTGGAATGGTGGAGGGCCAATGAAAGAGAGGAAGACCCTCAATTAGATGGGTTGACACAGTGACTGCAGCAGTGGGCTCAAGTGTGCCAGAGATGATGAGGATGGCACAGGATAGGGCGGGGTTTAGATCTGTTGTTCATAGGGTCGTTATGAGTTGTACTCAACTTAATGGCACCTAAAAACAACAACAACAACAACAACAACAACAGTGCAATGATGGTAAAAAAAATATTGAATACATCATCCACTTCCAGAAGAGCAAGAACATCAGTCTTAGAAGAAATGAATCCAGAATGTTCCTTAGAAGTGATTTATTTACTTTGCATATATCATCAGGAAAGATCATTATTAAGAAAAGACAACTTCAGCAAGCAACAAATGCTGGCGAGGTTGTGGAGAAACTGGGACCCTTATTCACTGTTGGTGGAAGTGTAAAATGTGGCAACCATTGTGGAAAGTGGTGTGGGGCTTTCCTAAAAAGTTGCAAATAGAGATACCATTTGACCCAGGAATTCCACAACTGGGAATATACCCCAAAAAGACCATAACTGACATCCAAGCAGATATATGCACTCCCATGTTTATCGCAGCTTTGTTCACAATAGCAAGGAGTTAAAAACAACCCAGGTGCCCATGAACAAATGAATGGATAGAGAAGCTGTGGTATATTTACACAATGGAATACTATGCTGCATTGAAAAACAAGGAACTCATGCAATATTATTCAAAATGGGTGACCCTGGAGGACATTATGCTGAGTGAAGTATCTCAGTCACAAAAGGACAAATACTGCATGGTACCACTGTTGTAGAATGGGACTGATATCGGGGTTGGGGTAAGACTGAGAAAAACTGGATAAATTATGTATACTACATTGAAACAGATGAGAGAGAGAATAATTTAAAAGCAATATATGATAGGGTATTATGGTTATCACAAGAGTCCAGAATTAAGGTTGCATAGTGGAGTGTACTCGGGGCGGTGGGAGGGGTGCGGGGGGATTGTATACCAAAGAAAGAATTTTTCTTTTACTTTTCAAAGAAAGGAGCAAACTGGGGGGTGAGGCGGAGGGCTGGGCAGGGAGAAAAGTGCAACAATGAATGAGTGGAAATCCAAAATCTCTGTAAATGTTCATTAAAATTAATAAAATAAATTTTTTAAAAAGAAAAGACAACTTCATTCATAAAGTAGTTGTTATGTGCTTGTGACTCATAGTGACCTTATGCACAATAGCTCTGAACTCTGTCCTACTTTGAGCCAATCTCACTGTCAGAGACCCTTGCCTCCAGTACACTAGCTACCGTGTCAATCTATCTCCTCGAGAGTTTCCCTCTCTTGTGCTGACCCTCCATCATTCCAGTCATGATGCCCTTCTCCAAGGACCTGTCCTTCCAGCATCATGCTGAAAGTATGTGAGACGGAGCTTCAAAATCTTTGCCTCCAAGGAGCAACTTGGTTTCACCCTCTCCAGGACAAATCTGTTGGTTCTCTTGCCAGTCCATGGTATGTATACAATACTCTTCTCCAGCACCACAACTCAAAGGCAAGCAGACTTTAGAGAGACTAGAGAGTTAGTAAAAAATGAGGGAAAGCCTTCATGAGATGGCTCTACATACGGGCCACAACATTGGACTCAAACATATCAAAGATCAAAGAGAAGGTGCAGGAGAGGTCATTCAGCTGGTTGCACAGGAGTCAGAGCTAAATCAATGACAACCGACAGCTCTTGTATAGCTGTGTGACTGACCTTGAACATGCTCCTCAGTGTCAAGCACATTATGCTTGCAGGATTCCTTAGGTACCTTTCATCATCAAGTGCCTTCTTTGTGATTGCTCTTTCTTTCTCCCTGCTTTTGAAATAACTTCATGTTTATTATTATTACTATTATTATTATTATTTATATTTACTTAGCGACATTTCAGTGGTAGGATTCTCTCACCTTCCATGTAGAAACACTGGGTTTGATTCCAGACTAACACCACTACTCATTTGTCACTGGGGCCTTGCAAGTGACTGTGATGCTAAACAGCTTGCAGTAGAACTTCCAGACTTAGATGGACCAGGAAGAAAGGACTGGCTACCTACTCTCAAAAATCATCCATTGACATGACAATGATCCTATCCTGTTGTGCATGGGGATACCAGAAATAAGGTACTGATTCAATGTCAACTAACAACAGTTTGTAAGCCCTGATTTTAAATTTAAATTTAGTTAGGTGGAATGATTTCCTTATCTATCTAAATACAGAAAAGATGAGTTAAACTAAAATGAGAAGCTATTTTCAGGTTTGTTTATACTCTTCAAATACAGGGTTTTTTTCAGAAGACTTCTTAAGAGAAATGATTCTTCCCCTTTTCTCTGAAACTGACTAACCAAGGACGTGGCCTTACGGTGTTATAAAACTCTGAAATGAGGTTAAAAAATGTTTAGCAGATGGAAAGTAAGAGTACTATGTGAGAAATTCCTTATTGCCTTATTCTTGGATGTGATATGCAACAAGATGGACTTATTGTGAAAAAAATAATACAAGACTGAAATGTCACTGTGATTACACATATGCTCCTTGGTGGGTTAGAATAAATTAATGGCCATTAAACCTTAGACTGCTCTGGAAAATTAACTCAGGTCCAGCATGTTAGCTTTTCATGGGTCAAGGAAAATGCTCAGACTGGCATGGAGCCTCCGTGGCTTTCATGGAGAAGTTCTGTGACTTTGACACTGAGGAGCAATGCACATCTGGAATGAAATCAGACCTCGCCCTGTTCAGGCTTCTGCTCCCTGGCATTTCATTATTCTGACTTGGGTGTGACTCATGCAATAGGCTTATTTTTAGCAGTGGTCGGAACCGTTCATGATGAATAAATCAGGAATGCTGTTTATTTTTTTAAAATTAATTTTAATGAACGTTTACAGAGATTTTTGGGTTTCCACACATTCATTGTTGCCTTTTTCTCCCTGCCCACCCCTCCCCCTGTTCGCACTTCTCTTTGAAAAGTAAAAGAAAAATTATTTCATTGGTATAGAATCTGCCCCCCCCTCCGCCGCCCCCCGCCAGTACACTCCACTATGCAACCTTCATTCTGAACTCTTGTCATAACCATAATACCCAATCAAATATCACTTTTTAACAGTTCTCTTCCTCATCTGTTTCTATGCAGTATACATAATTTATCCAATTTTTCTCAGTCTCACCCCAACCCTGATGTCAGTCCCATTCCACAAAAGTGGCAC